GGGTGAAAGAGGGGGTGGGGTGCAGGGTCCTGGCAGCTCTTACTGTGGCTCCTTGGAATCAGCTGTGCAGCCCCCAGGAACATGCTGAGCAGCCAGGGCGGCCCACAGGCTCCGCCCACACAGCTCTCATTGGTCACAGTTGAGCCAACAGGAGCTGCAGAAGCAGCACTGAGTCTCCGTTGCCATCTCTGACCCTAGGGGCGGCAGGACCTGGTGCCACTCCTGGGAGCCACATAGAGCCAGGGCAAGAGGCCCTGGGCCCCTGACCAGACTTGTCATTGTCTGACCAGCAGTGCTAACCAGAGCCACCAGCATCCCTTTTCAACCAGGTTTCCCAGTAAAAAACGAGACACTTGGCATCCATAAGCTCAGCTTCCCTTTAATCCCCTCAGCTGGATACTCCTGCCCTTCTCCCCCATAACTGGGTCCAACCAGTCCCCACTAACACTTTTCAGTTGGGCCCTTATCCCCTGACAGCTGCCACCCAATCAACAAGATCTCCCCGCGCCCGCCATCCATCTCACATCTGGGACTCTTCTTTCCCTGCATCTGATCCAGCCTCTCCCTTCCACTTCACAGCTGGGCTGCTTCTCCCCCTGCAGATAGGAGCCAAAAAAGCCCCCTTACTAACCTGTCAGCTGGGCACCTCCAGCTACAGCTTGTAATAAAAAAATAATAATATATGGAGATATACCTATCTCATAGAACTAGAAGGGACCTTGAGAGGTCATCGAGTCCAGTCCCCTCCTTGGCCTCTTCTTCCCCCATAGCTGGGATCCCACCAATCCCCCCATCTCAAAGTTGGGCCCCTTCTCTCCCTACAGCTGGCTCCCCCTTCCATCACCACAGCCTTGCCTCTTCTCCCTCCAAAGCTGGGCAACAACCAGCCCCCCTCACACCTGAATGCTGGGCACCTTCTCCTCCTACAGCTGGGCTTCTTCTCCCTCCACCGCTGGGCCCCAAACACCCCAGGTCTTGGCTCCTTCTCCCCTTGCAGCTGGGCGGCAACCACCCCTCAGAGAGCCAGGAGAAAGTTCTCAGATGTGAAGTACTCTTCTGCTGCCTCTGTTCACCAGTCAGGAGTGAGAGGCATGCACAGAAGCCATGTACTTCCCCATCGCTCCCTGACAATCAGGGGAATGGGAAGAAAAGCCAGCAGCATGCCAGTACACATGGCTGCTGCCCCCCACCCCACCCGGCCTCCTGAAATGGCGCCCTTGACCCCAATCTGCCTGACCCAGGACAATTCAATTCAAACAGAGGAGGAGACCCCAAAGCCTCCTGGTTCTCTCATTAGCCTGCATCTCACCTGGTCACCCCTGGACTGAGCTCCATCGTGTTTGGCTGAGGCAGTCTGGATCTGATGGCAACATTGGCATTGGTTGCAAGCACCATCACTGCATTGTTCGTGGGGGTTTCCTAAGCGAGACCAAAGCGCGCTCAACCCTTCTCAAGCTCTGACGAGGCCTGTTCTCGGCAGCTCGCCGTGCGGTGATTTGCACATTGACGTATTGGCTTGAAGGAACGCTGCAAAGGGTTTTTTAAAAGCTGGGTTTCTGCCTCTCTGATGGATAAAGGGCAATGCCAGGGAGAAGAGAAGAGAAGAGGGGAGAGGGCTTTGCTTGTTTGTTAGACATACCAAGTGCAGGCTGCCTTGCCTTTTGCTGAAGGACTCCCAGGGTCTCTGAGGGCGTCTATGGGAAGCTCTATCAGCTCAGGCCATGTCTACACTGGGGTTTAGCACTGGTCTAGACACAAAACTGTAGCATACTTCTTGTCCCGCCCAGCTCCGGTGCAAGTTACTGTTCATACCAATGCAGCACATTTACATTTGGAATTGCACCACTGCGGAGCCTGCCTGCACCCTGTTAGTGCAGACTGAAGGAATGCTGTAGAGTGTTTTAAAGTGGGTTATTGGGGCTCTTTTGGTGTCCTTCCTCCAGGGCATAGGTACAAGGTGCATGAGTTACAGCAGTTAGGAGATTCTGCAGTCCTTATTGAAAAGAAGAAAATCAGCAGCACCGGGAAGGAGCTCAGTTCCCAGACTACTGGACCACACAAATGCCCTGGTACTGAGCTAAGAAGGATCCATAAAGGCCAGCTGATGAAAGCCAGTAACAAATGCTTGAAGGCCCTTCCACGGCTAGAACTGTGCAGAGGGACACTGGGGACCTCCCCTTTCCAGAGGTCTTGAGTAGGGATGTTAAAAATAGATTAATCAACTAATTCAATAGTGGATGGAATTTCATCAACTATTCGATTAGTCGATCAGGGCGTTTCTGCTTTGAAATGTGGCCAGAGCCTGCTGGGCTGATCCTACATTTCAAAGGCGGAAGTGCCAGGCAGGGGCTTCTTGTGCATTTCAAAGATTGAAACAGAGCATGGAGCCTGGGGCCAGCAGGGGACTCAGAGTCCCCATTGGCCCCAGGCTCCATGTGGTGCTTCCACTTTGAAATGTACACGAGCCCCAGCGGGGACTCATATACACTTCAAAGGTGGAACGCCGCCATTGCGCCCCTGCCTCCTCCCATGGAGCTGGAGGGAGCCGGCTTTTAAGCCAGCCCCCCCTCCTCTGGCCCCCCCTTGCTGCCTCTGAGGCTATGACTAGACTATGGGGGTTTTCCACATCCAGGGAACACGTCTGCTCTTCCGCTTTTTTTTTGTGGAAGACCAGACGCGCTCTTTCGGAAGCCCTGTCTTCCTCCTCCCACGAGGAAGAAGGGCTCTTCCGTATAGACAGAGTGCAATTTGTGTACTTTTTTCCAATAAAGCCCCGTAGTGTAGACCCATGGTCACCAACGAGTAGATCGGGATCTACTGGTAGATCTTGGAGCCTCTGACAGGTGATCCTGAGAGGTTTGCCATGTGGCTGTCAAGTGCCAGCACTTCAGCTGCTCCTCCTCCCATGGCTGCGCATCTCTGGCCCTTTGCCTTGGAGCTGTTCCCCCAGGAGTCTCCTGCTTGCTGGGCAGGGGACAGAGAGGAGGGTGCTAATGTCATGGTGCCCCTTTATCCCACCTTGTATCCTTTCTCCACAGAGCAGAGAAGGGGCACAAGAGGACTAGGGATAGAGCAAGTGTCTTGGTTGCTTTTGGGAGTGGTGCACGGCTAGGGAAGGGGTGAACATTCCTTAACCCCACTGCACCATCACCCAGGAGCCACCTGAGGTAAGCAGAGCCCAACTGGAGTCCAAATCCTGAACCCCTGCCCAAGTCAGGAATTGCCTCCTATACCTCAAGCCCTGAGCGTCCATGCATCCAAACGCCCTCCCAGACCCTGTACCTAGAACCCCCTCCTGCAACTCAACTGCCTGCCCCAAGCTCAGCTCAGAGCCCTTCACGCTCTAAATCCCTTAACCCAAGACCAGAACCTGCCCCCCAACCCTCTGCCTGAGCCTGGTGAAAATGAGTGAAGGTGGGGGAGGGAGGGAGAATGGAGTGAGCAGGGGCAGGGCCTTAGAGAGAGGTGCAGCAAGGGGCACAAAGGAGGCAGGACAGGGGGTGTGGGTTTGAGGTAGATCTTACATTGCTCTTAAATTAAAAAAGTGATCTCGTGCTTAAAAAGGTTGGAGACCCCGGTGTCGACCTAGCCGGATAGAGGCATGGGGGAGCGACTAGTCAACTCGTGTGTTGCCTAGTTGCTTATATCCCTAGTTTTGAGCAGGGGACTTCAGGGGGAGGGGGCCGGAGGGAAGAAGGAGAGAGAAACGATTCCACACTGGGGAGGAGGGAAAGTGGAAACGTCTCAGGCAGGTCTTCACGCAGCAGGAGCAGGTTTGCAGCTGCTCAGAGCTTTGGAACAAAGCGGTCAAGTGCATGACAAATAAATGTGTTACTGGGCAATCGACTCCCAGTACGAAGGGCAGAACCTCACCTGTCTTCTCTTGTCCCTTCCCCTTTGCTTCCTGTTGTCTCCCAGGCTGCCCTTACAATGTAACCCCATGTGCACATTCGGCACGGGATCCATCCCCCCCACGTCCCATGCAGCACTCGCCATACGGTCAGTGCTTGGGTCTGACTCGCCTTCTCTGGCCGGGGGAGACACCTGTGAGGCCCGGGGGACTCAGAGCAGCTGTAGAAGAGACAGACAAAGCCTCCAGCCCAATACAAGTATTTTATTTCAGTTACAACAAGCGCCACAACAAAGGTTGAAAACCAGTTACAAAAATCCCTCCTTTACCATATAAATACTTTAAAAAATCCCTCAAAGTCCTTCCCTTTGTCTAAAACGTGAGGGTGCCCCTGGCTGGGGGAACTGAGCCTGGCACCAGCGCTCGAAGTGGTCTCCTGTGACACTCTCCTGTGACACTCAAGGCGCTAGGAGCAGGGGAGGCTTTGTAGCTGAGCTCCTCTCTCTCCATCACTCCCGCCCTGCAGAGCACCAGCCCCGCGCACTGAACTCAAGGGGGTCTCTGGCAGCGGTGCCATGCTGGGCCTGGCTAACGCCTGCCATGACTCAGCCATCACACCAGAATCAGCGGGGGACTGCGGCTCCACAGTGCTCACGGCAAAGGGGCTACTCCACTTGGAAGAGTCCAAGGAAGCGGAAGTGAATGGGGCTGGGTGGAAATAAGAAGAAAACAAGCAAGATGAGTCAGAGACCTGAAGAAACGGCTTTTCCTGGGGGCCAGGGCACCCCCATCTCCCCCATCGTCTCCCTGCCTTCCAGAGCTCTCGGTCCTTTCATGCCTTTTTCCCACCCCCGACTGGGATCGGTGCAGACATCTGAGCCCACAACCAGGGGCTGAACTGCATAGACCCAGGTTGCTGGGCCTCTGGGCCCCTCACTTCACAGCCCACGGCCAGAGGGAAGAGGCTACTGTCACGGGTGGATCCGAACATTTGTAAAGCCCTGCAAGGGCTCTAGGCTGGGTTTGTGATGGGGCCTATCCAGGGTGGTGCACAGCCAACATCCACCTCCTTTCTGGGGATCCTGATTCCCACCCTTTTCCCCTCCAGCTTGCCACTGTGCGGTACAGCCCCAGAGCAAGCCACCCGCCCCGGGCGCAGCTGGGCAGCCCCCACCAGCTTCTGCATCAGCTGAAGGTAGGGAGGTGGGGTGGGTCCCAGTGGGCCTGTGCTACGTGATGCAGCCCCAGAGGAAGCCACCCGCCCTGGGAGCAGCCAGGCAGCCACCACGTGGCCCTGGTCCCAGCTCCAGGCTTGGGGAGTTGGGGACAGCAGAGAGCTGCCTGGCTTAGCCTGCATTCCCCCACCAAGCCAACCACTACCAGCAGCTAAGCTTCCACCAGAAGAACGGTGAGTGCAGGGCTGTAGGCACGCTGCTGTGCAGCCCTGCTAAGAAGGTGGGCGGGACTAAAACAGGACTGGAGCTGGCAGGGGCAGGGTAGGACTGATGATCTACCAGGCAGCCGGGGGGACCTTGGTGGCTGGGATGGCAGAGTCACCAAGGAACCGCCAAGCCAGGGACCAGGAGGTCCTGGGGTTCCACCTATCGCCTTGCGGAGCTGCTAGCAGTACTGCTCAGTCACTGGCCTGCTGCTTGCACAGGAGCAGGGCCTCAGCCCTCACCAGGTGACGAGCTGTCTGATCAGAGCCGCTTCCCGCGCCGGCCCGTCGAACGACGGTGCCCAAGGTGACTTACCGCTGTGCCTGTCCCACGGCAGAGTTCAGCAGTTCTATGGGGGCCATAAAGAGGGCTGGTGGAAAGCAGGCAGCCTGGGACCTAGCTCATCGCTTTCGTTGCACAAACTGTCTTGGGAAGGGCTGTGGAGCAGCTGGACGCCATAACCCCGGGCGGCCGCTGCCTTCCTCCCCCGGGGTGTTCAGAAGCGAAGATGCCCAAGAAGGGTTCCACTCCCAACACAGCTCCACAGCTTCACTAGACCAGGTAGTGGGCCCAGAGACAGCTTAGTTGCTGGTGGGATCCCAGGGGCGGCCAGTCCCGCTGTGCTGCCTCCGCTTGCTGCAGGGGACAGGAGATGAGCACGGAAAGACCTCGCCACCAGCTCAAGACAGAGAGAGGTTTATCGAATGAATTTCTCTTTGGTTTCTGTTCTGAGACTCTCTGTAATGGGCTTGAACAACAGCAGAGCTCACCACGGCTTCCAAGCCTCGCAGGCATCTGTCACCAGCCTGTAAGTGCATGGCTCCTACCCTCAGCCTTCTGCTGCGGCTCTGCCACCTCGCTACAGCCACGGTGCCCATCCCAGCTCTGCACAGACTCCTCGAGCTGTGCCCTGGGCCAATGTCCACGAGGGACTAGGAGTGCAGTTCTTCAACGACCCCAGGGATTCAATACGATCCCGGGGCCCCAGGGTTGAAACGCTCATTCGTTCCCCTAGTGACGCCCTTCGGCCTCCGACAGCTCCCCGCCGTGCTCCTCACCTCTAGGTGCACTACGTAAAAAAAAGTAATAAATATACTAACCCTTTTGCTTCAAAAATGCTTTTCAATGCATTTCCCTGAACTTTTCCAGTGTATTTCACAAGGTTAAAAAAATAGTTCCCAAAAATATATCTTAAAATGTTGTACAGATTTATCGATGCACGTGTCTCCCTGGAGAAATCAGCCTGTGCCGGGCATATTTACATACACAGTCAAACCAATTCGAAAAAGCTTTCCAGGCTGCGAGAGGGCCGGGTTTAACTGTGTATGTGTCAGCCTGGGCCAGGGCATTCAGACACGTGCCAAAAGACCCGCTGCTTAGGCAAAGTTAAAACCATTTTGCAAGTCAATGAAATTAAGGAAGGTGTTCACAGTGGATCGAATCTCAGATGGTCTCGTGAGCCTCGTGAGCCTCGGGCTCAGGGATCCGTTACTGCTGAGAGCTGAGCAGAGAGCCTGGGAAATTCAATTCTTGACAAAGGACCAATAAGTCAAAAGTTGGTTTCCACCGTTTACTGGCCCTTTTCCCTTCACCAAACTTCACACTTTTTCTGGGGGTTCATGGGGGAGCCAGGAGGGCAGCGGAAGTGCTCTGAGAACTCTTTGGAATTGGAGATCGTGCCGATGACTCGGAAACGCGATGGGCTGTGGGGATCAGTGATGAGTCCTTCATGGGAGCTCTCCGGGGTGCGAACCGAACACCAGACCTGCAAATACGGCAAACAGTGAACTCAAAGGCCACATCATAGCTGCAGGGAGAGGGAACTTCCTTGGGCTGGGGGCCACTAGCCCACAGAAAAATCAGTTGGGGGCCACACACAGGTGTGAAGTAAAACAAAGCAAAACAAAAGCCCACAACCCTCACTAATTTGGCCCCTAAGGGTACGTCTAGACTACAGGCTTTTGTCGACAGAGGCTTTGTCAACAAAAAGCGTCTAGACTACAGCCCGCTTGGTTGACAAAGCAAGCCGCTTTTTCGACAGAGAGTCTAGGTGCTCTCTTCTGAAAAAGCACAGTGTGGATGCAATAGTCTTTTGTCGACAGAACTCTGTCGACAAAAGGCGTTATTCCTCATAGAATGAGGTTTACCGCCGTCGACAAATCTGCGTTCTGTTGACTTACTGTCGACAGAACTCGGCAGTAGTGTAGACGTAGGTATAGTTTTGTCGACAAAACCCTGTAGTCTAGACACACCCTGAGTGAGAAGGAGGGAAAAAACCCAGATGTGCCCTGTCACTTTACTGGAGTTTAAGGGAAGCAGCCAGGTCACTGCTGCGCCCATGGAGGAGTGTTTGCCCCAAAAGTGGGTACAAAGGGGGCCATGTGAGGTGTCAAGCAAAAGCTTACCTGCTACTGAGTCTGTATATGCTCTTCCACGAGGAGTAACAGTTCATTCGAACTAAGGACTTAGTTCGAATTAACGTTTCACTGCCGTGTGTAGCCGTGCGGCAGTGAGTTCGGGCTAGTGAAATTTCAAAATGGCGACCGGAGGGGAACATGCAAATAAAGCCCGGGATATTTAAATCCCGGGCTTCATTTGCAACTCCGGTCACCTCATTTGCCTACCTAGCTCGAATTAACGAGCTAGTGTAGACATACCCCTAGGGACTTCTGTAACACAAAGTTGTTCTGTCTGGTGGGCTGTGTCTAGACTGGCCAGTTTTTCAGAAAATCAGCTGCTTTTCCGGAAAAACTTGCCAGCTGTCTACGCTGGCTGCTTGAATTTCTGCAAAAGCACTGACTTCCTACTGTAAGAAATCAGTGCTTCTTGCGGAAATATTATTCTGCTCCTGTTCAGGCAAAAGTCCCTTTTGCGCAAAAGGGCCAGTGTAGACAGCTCAGATTTGTTTTACGCAAAAAAGCCCTGACTGCAAAACTGGCGATCGGGGCTTTTTTGCAGAAAAGCGCGTCTAGATTGGCACGGATGCTTTTCCGCAAAAAGTGCTTTTGTGGAAAAGCGTACGTGCCAATCTAGATGCTCTGTTCTGAAAATGCTTTTAATGGAAAACTTTTCCGTTAAAAGCATTTCCGGAAAATCATGCCAGTCTAGACGCAGCCGAGGGGTGTCTGTCTTACTTTGCTGCAAAATGAGCATTAACGCGTCAGACTGCACCAGACAGCGGGCTTGTCAAATCTGTTACCTTGCCTCTTAGCTGATGCATCACAGGAAGGCCAGCTCTTCTCAGTGGCGGTGACGCATCTCTTCGCAGCGCTCCATGACTCTACTCGCTGCACTGCTCTGCTTCTTCAGGGGCCAGGATTCAGGGCTGGGCAGTCTAATGTGTGTAGCTTGCAGTGCAGTGAGTGGTTGGGAAAGGCAGCCAGCTGGCTCTTGCACCCAATAGCGGCAGCAGCGCAGAGGATGCTCAAAGCACTGGCCCATGACTGAAATGGCTCTTGCTCCAGGCCTGCTCCTTCCTTTCCTCAGCTTTGGTTCCTGACAGCTGCTCTGAGCCTAGTTTCTGGCCTCTGGCTCAGGATTCCTACTCCAACTACTAGGCCTGACTGCCCACATCCCAGTCACTGCTGTGGGACTCAGTTTGGGAAAAGGTGGGTTGGGATAAGATGAAGGGGGGGCACGGCCACCCCACCCAAGCAGCCTTTGCATCCCCACACAGTGCACCCGGAAACAGGACAAAGAGACCCACCTGGGCAAAGCCCACAAAGAAGAGCTGGTTGTTGGAGAGGCCGAGTGTCGGCAAAGCATCCTCATGTCCATTCTTCTTCACCCAGTTCTGATACGCCTGCAGATGGAGAGATCAGAGGCAATGCTGCATCAGCACCGGGCCGCCCTGCATGGGGCGGGGATCAGAGACACTTCCACTGCCAGGTGGGGGCTCGGAAATGCTGGGCCAGCTAGCCACAAGGGCACGAGCCCTTCGGGGTCAGCGCTGGTCCAAGGCATGCACTGGCACCAAGGGAGGCGTCAGCCCTGCAGGAGCCTCCCCCATGCCCATTTCCTCATCAGTCACAGGAAGCCAGAGGAAAATCTGAGGCAGCCCTAGGGGCTGGGAAGGGAAGAGAAGGCACAAAACAAACCACTGCTAGAGCTGAGCAAATACGTGACTTTTGGCTCGTGGGCTGAAAAGTAAAATCTAAACCAAAACTCATTCAGGGCTGAATGAAGCGTTTCATTAAACCCCAAGCAACTCCCCCTTTCCCGCCCAATTTTTTGTTATTAGTTTTTGGGGGGTTGTCTAATCTAGCTCACTTTCAGCACGAAGCATCATTTTGAAACCTGGTCAAATCATTTTGTTTAGAAACCGTTGAAACGAGCCGATTCGACTCTTTGATTTGTTTTCAACTATTTGCCACGTTTGACTCAAATTGTGACTATTTGGGTCGACCCAAAATTGTATTTTTTGGCAAACAAGCCATTCATCGGCAAAGCTTTCCCGGGTTCTCCCTGAGACATGCAGGGTCCCGCATGGCCAACAGGACTCTAAATAGCGTGGGATTCATTGAGGAAGAGACCCGTCTGGGGAGCAATTTGTACCCACACAAGGCAGACTCATCTTCCACCATGGTTGCTACATTTGCCATTGCCAATGGGAGGGTCTGGAGAGGGTTAAAGCCTCTTCCGCTTACAATGGTCAGTTTCTTCCCCCTCCTAAATCTCCTTGGAAAGCCGTCTCCCTCCCAGCCACCCTCTCAGGGTGCAGATTGTCAGTCTATGATTTCCTGCTCCAAGGACAGCAGATCCCAAATCCAAGCCACCTGAATGAAGCCTTACATACGGTCACGTCCCACCCCATCCCTCCACACTGCATAGAGGAGCTCAGAATTTTACACTTCCTCAGAGCAATTCACCTCGCCATCTCTGTACAACAGGGGTGAGCAAGAGGCTGCCAGCGAGCTGGATTTGGCCCACCAAGCCACCGGATCTCTAGCCAGAACCCTTAGGCAGAGAACAACTCAGCTGTAAAAAAAACCAGCTGCTCCCAGCTCTAGACAGCTGGGGAGGGAGGAGGGAGGAGAGAGGAAGGAGGAGGGAGGAGGGAGGAGGGAGACTTCTCCTGCTGTTCCCACCCCCCAGGAAAATCTCTCAGCTTCCCTTGGCCAATCTCTCAGTTTCCAGCCAATAGGAGCTGAGAATTTTTGCTGGGCGCAAGGGCAGTGTGGGAAGCCTTCTCCCTCCCTCCCTCCCTGTCCCCGCCTCCCGCGCCCCCCTCATGCCTGGAACGGAGCCATGTGCAGCAGCGAGCAGCCTGCAGCAGACAATCTGCCTCAGGTAAGAGCCTCCCAGCCAGAGCCTGCCTCTGGCACCTCACCCACCTCTCTCCTCTGACTACCTGTATGAGGCCACCCCCCAAGCCCTTTTCCCCCTTCTCCCAGGTCACAACTCCCTTCCAGACCTTGCACCTCCTCCTACGTCTCCCCAGGCCAGAATTCTCTCCTGCACCCACACCCCCTACTGGGCTGTACACCCCAAGCTCCTGCCCCAGATCACAGTCTCCTTCCCTCACCCAAACTCCCTCTCAGACCCCTCACCTCCTCCTGCACCCCAGACTCCTACCCCGAGCTCCCTTCTGCACCCACCCTCTGTCCCAGGCTGCACATCCCCTCCACAGAAGTGCAGCACTTTACCACTTGCCCCTCTTTGCAGTGGCCCCCCATTAAAAATGATTGCCCACCCCTGCTGTACAATCAGGGATCTCTCTCCAGCGGCAGCACCAGGGCAAGTCCAGGACGACCCAAAGCCTGGCTGTACTGAGACCCATGTCTGTGCTAGACTCCTACCCGATATGCGGCTTTGAGACCCCCGTTGTCAGCAATGTTCTCTCCCAGCGTGTGTTTGCCGTTCACTGCCTCGCCGTTCACTGTGTAGTTGCTGTATTGTTCCACCATGCACTCTGTCTGCTGCTTGAAGGCCTCCACCGAGGAGTTCTTCCACCAGGGGCGCAGATTTCCGTCTTTATCGTACTCCCGCCCTGCAGAGGAGCAGACCAAGCAAAATACTAGAACCAGAAGATACTTCCTCTGAGATGGCCTGTGGCAGACCCTGCCTGAGTGTGTGATGGTGGGTTGCTTGAGATTTAGAACACACGATCTGTCAGCTTGGAGACGCAGCGACTGTACTAGCAATGGCAGAGAAGAGGAGCAAGTTCTGAGACCCCCCTGAACTTGCTGATCTTTACTTTATTGCATCGCCATAAGTCCCAACAGAGCATCACAAAATGCTTTGGCATTGGCAAGATACCCCTTTGGGACAGAGTGCAGGGTGCAGGCAGGTCAGCTCACAGCACTGAGTTCCCCAGTCAGCAAGAAGCTGGTGGAGGTAATTATGCAATCGGGCCACCTGGCTGAGCCAGTTACCCCATGAGGCCTGGGCTGGTAACAGGGGGCACAGCAAGGAGGAGCAGAGGAAAGGAAGGAGAGAGGGAGGAAGAGGGAAAGTTGAGCCTTGCCAGACGAAGGGTTAGAACCTCATGCCCTGGG